CATAGACTGTATATATTTTGACATACTGTAATCCAATATCAGGATTAGATAAATTAGCCTTTAATCATGATTGATGTTTTATTTATATTGTATTTTCAAACACGAAGTTGTTTAAGAGTTTAGCTATGCACTTTGAAGCATATACAAAACCACTTCCCTGTAAAATAATCTATTCCTTTTCCTATTCCACCAAAACCAGTGTTGTAAAGAAAAGTGCTACTGTATAACTTCTTTTTTTTTCTTTAATGAAACAGACTTCATCTTAAATTTGGTCATCTCTTATCCAAAGTTGGAACAAGTCTAAATTATCAGAGATTGAAAACAGATAATGACAGCAACCTGTGATTCAGTTTCTTACAGTTTTAATGCTGCAAAATTGTCATTAAATATGTGTTTACCAGTCTAAAATTTACTTATACCATTGTGAAAGAAATTTGAATGGCCATGAGAGTAGTTCATTAATCTTCTAAATGGACTCTTTTGCTATTTGCTGCTGTCTTGATAAGCAGATAAGCTTCACCTGTTTGAAAGAGGAATGCAAGTGGAAGATATGAATTTAGAGATATTTTTTGTTATTAGAAAAAGTAGAATATTTACTGTAACAATAAGACTGCCCTTGCTTATGGACATTTTAGTATAATTTGTCTTGATTTCTTTACATTTAACTTTGTTTTGCACATATAGTAAAAGATATAATACAGTTTACCGTTCAATAATATAAAAAAATATGGTGCATTTGAATAAAAACATGCAATCTAATCTATTTCATGGCTGGTACAGGGAGTTGGTAAATCCTTTTGAAAATGAAGAATAGAATTATCTATATCTACAACTATCATTGTACTGGAAAAGCTGTCAAGTAGGTTGTCTTTCTAGCCTTAAAAACAGAGATATAGTAAACCAGGAAAAGGAGGACAGGCTCACAAGACTACATTTTTTCACCTAATAGAATCTTATAGGGTACTACAAGGTTTTGATTTCTAGATCTAAATGTTCTAATAGACCTTGAGTGCACTGACAATGCAGGGTTTTGTTTGCTGAACTCAAAATACATGAATTTGACATTCTGAATGGCTCTAAAATATATCTATTTCATCGTTGTGCAAGTCACTATATACAGTGCTAAGAAGTCAATTTAAAGCAGGTTTCTCAATAAAGAAAAAGAAAAGTTGCTTCATTTGAGGTAAAAATAACTGAATAGCAAAAGGAAAGGCTCTCAAAGGAGAAGATGCAAAGTCTTGTTGATCTTACTCAATAATAGGATCAAAAGAAATGACAAAGTATTTTTCTGAGTACTTACATCAGGTTTTTTTAATTGTTTCATTATTCTTCATCATCCCTGTGTAGAAAGGAGCAGGAAAATAGCTACATCCAGGTTTCCCAAAGGGACCCAAGAGGAATTCAGTACTTTGTTCACACTTGTTTGGAAATTATGGGACTCTACATTTCTTCATATACATCAGCATAAATAGAACAGTTGATCCCAGGTCAGCATGCCAGCATGCTAACTAATCTGCAGGTATAGAAGGAGCATGCATCATATCACTTCCGCTTGCAGACTCTTGGAAGCTGAATCTGGTCTGAGCCCTTCTGGTTGTTGGAGCTCTTTGGAGAATATGCCATTTATCCTAGAGCAGGTTTCCAACATTTTCAGATTTTGTGTGCAGAAACCTTTGGAAATGCTTGTAACTTTTTCTTCAGAGATGTGTCTAATTGTCTCTTATTCTTCTGTTCCCTGCCCCATGTGGGCTGCCAGGTTGGACACCCTTACACACCACTGGTACTGCACCAGGGACTGCTGGCTCGCGTGCCAGCAGGTTTCTGGGAACGGCCAGTACCATAGTGCCCCCTCTCCCTTTGTGGCTTTAAGAGCCATTAAGTGGACTTTAAGAGCCATTTGAAATAAGTACCCAAGGCAGGATTTATACTTTTGCTGACATGTTTGACAGTCATCTACATCTGCGTTTCACTCTTCTCGTCTTCTAGCTCATGCAAACCCAGTCATTTTCAAGTTCCAAGCACAATGTGCTGTGCCGGTGTCAGAAAACAGTTTATACAAATGGATGAACTGTGCTCACATCTGATTCCTAAATGTGAATAATGAATTCTAATTCAGAGTCTTTTTTTTTTTT